TAGTTGAATTGCGAATGCAATATGCATAATTATTTTGCATTCTTTTTTTTTTGCCGCATTTGTCCTGCTATTGTTTTATCTGTTTCTTGTTGAACGCTGCTAGGCATAAGAGAGTGCCTCGTAGAGTTGCTTCGACCCTCTCTCTTTTTCTGGAATCTTTATTTGGATATCGAATTCATGTACGAGGCTGCAAGTCTCTTTTATATACTTGTACATGCGCCTTTTTTCCCTCTTTCTGGTAAAGCGTATTATTCCCTCGCTCTTCGGTAATAGTTCAGGAGCATATTAATTATAGAAAACAAATCTCCACGGGCTTATTAATTGCTCCCGCCGAGATTCACGAGCGCTTTAATTTCGGACACCGCTATACGTCTTTGCGTAAATCAGTGCATCTTACGATGTCTTTCGACAGTGCAATAGTGAACGTTGGACTGTCGATTACGCCAAGGGCAACAAAAAAACCAAGCACATGGCAAGCATGAAGACATTGTCAAGTATACCGCAAGTTGCAAAGAAGGCTCTTTGATGGTTAGGTAGACAAGAAAGAAATATTGGTGAAGCTTTCATCAAGCCGTGCAAGGCTTGAAGCAGCGAAAGTGACTGATACTGAAGACTATAATCTGCAGGATGCTTCGATAGTTGCTGGGCTATAATGTGATGGTTGCTTGTTTCTCTACGTTGATTCTCAGCGCAGAAAGTTTCGAGTTCAACCATAGACAGTCTCAAACACGACACGCATCGAAAGTGACCGATTCTGAAGACTATATGTAATCTGCTTGCTTGGATAGTTGCTGGGTTATGATGGGATGGTTGCTTGTTTCTCTACGCTAATTCTCAGCGCAGAAAGTTTCGAGTTCAATCATATAGACAGTCTCAAACACGACACGCATGTCCAAACTTCAGAGACAGGAGCCCGCGCTGAAAACAAGCGTTCGCACATCTCGCGAATCTATGGGTGCGCGTCGTCGTTGGTGTGTGCAAGCTTCCATCGCTTCCGGGTCTTCTCGCAGCCAGCGTTGCCATCCTCGCGCTCGTTGTACGCACTCGTGGTCTTGGGATCGCCGCCTTGACTTCGCAGCCTTTACTTGGGCCAACTGTAACCCTCTACGTTTTTGGTGGACCCGAGGTGAGAAAAGGCCTTACTCAATTTCCATGGCACATATTTGTTTGTTAGGATAGTTTTCTGAAAGGCCACACACACAAATTACGGCTTGCTTAAATAGCCTCGCTGTTAAAAGAATCATGTGTCAAGTACATCTCAAGCTGCAATCCGCGTTGGAATGTTAAGTATGTGTTGATGTATGCGTAGGATGTCTCGTAAGACATCCTACGCAGCAACGTCTACAGCAGCACAATTGGCAGCCCTCCGTATACCGCGTTACAATTTGTCATTGATCAACATATACACGTAAGTGGACTATTTTCTGCGACTCGAAGGCGGCACTGCAGTCTACTATCAGCCTTACGCCGTATATAGACCGCACGAGCAGCTGGTACTAGAGGTAGCAGAGGTTACACACCACCTGACGGAGAAATGGCACTAAATTACATTTCAGTAGTTACCCCAGTAACTGCGGAATCATCGACAATGAACGGGCCGATCAGGCTGCCCGCTCAGCCCACACAGAATACCATGAACTGCTACTACCACTTTCTAGGACAGATGCTGCACGAAAGCTCCACTGGCTTGTTCGCCAGCAAACCACGTTACAATGGAATCAGCCGCACTTCAAGCATGTTCGACTGTACTCGCTTGACCCTACGTCAAGTCTTCAAGTCCCGCCGAGGCTTTGCAGACCAGACCCTTTTATGTAAGCTGTCGTTGGGCGTTGCGTTTACCAACGCCCACGTTTTCCGCATTGGATGGCCGACACCACAGCCAGTGGCCACTGTGGCAAAGAAAAAACCATCCGACATATCCTTTGTGACTGCCTGGAATATATATATATATATATATATATATATATATATATATATATATATATATATATATATATATATATATATATATATATATATATATATATATATATATATATATATATAGTATAAAACGACTATGTCTTCGCAAAGAAGTCAGCAAATTAGGTGATCAATCTCTGTCGGAGGAAAGAATTTGCAATATCGACAAGATGTAACTTTCGACGGCCCTGAAAGCGCTTACTGCACTTTTTGCGATCAACCGGCCTTTCTGTGTGGTTGTTGCCAGAACGCCATTCCTGTGTGTGTGTTTTCGTTTTCTCGTGAGTGCACGTGTATATATAGACAGCATATATATAATATATATAGACAGCATATATAAGGTATAAATTAGGTTGCTCGTTTTGCTTTGACGAGCACGTGATAAAAGGTGAAAGAAGAAAAGTGTATGCCAACGACGACCTGGTCGAGATAAAGTCGTATCTCCTTGACCAGGAAACTATACCCGTTTCAACTTGAAAAAAAATTTCTTTTGTCGTTTTCGCAGCGTTATGCATAGATGGTATACTCAGGAGGGGATACAGATTTTTTTTGACTGTGGGTCAGTTTAAGGTTGAAGGAAGGGGGGGGGGGGGTGCTCTTTATAGAAGGACCTGTATGTCTTCGTCTTCAGAACACACACTCAAAAATTATAGGGTTCAGGATATCCACATCCCCTCTCTTAGATGTATTCGCCCGTGCACATGTGTGAATATATACTTCGTGCATGCAGTTGTTATGCGCTTTGCGCATATACCCTGCCCTTCGTGGCTTGCAATGCTCAAATCTTGCGATCAACACGGTGTGCACATAGAGGCAATACGAGGAGAATTTAACAGATTTATTTTCTGATGCTTGCACAATGCCTGTCTGTTGCAATGGAAGCGATTTTACACTGTTCAACACACACACACACACACACACACACACACACACACACACACACACACACGCACGCACGCACGCACGCACACACACACACACACACACGCACGCACGCACGCACACACACACACACACAAACAAACAAACAAACAAGTGACGAGTGAGTTGTGAACCACTTGAGACATGTGCGGTGTCTGCCCTGTCATCCAGCAACCTTTCGAATGCGTGGTTTCCTTATAAAAAAGCTGGCAAAGTACTATAGTGAGCTATGTGGTAATGACTATGAAGATAAGCTAAATACAGCACTCAGTGTAAAAGCACAGCCATCCGCAAATTACAAAAAAAAATCTCTTAAACGACTTAAGTGCCGAGAGTAATGCGTTACAGCGTTAATGAAGAGGACAACTGCCGCATTGCATAGACGTTTGACAAGTTGTTCTGCTTCGCAGCTTCTTGCATCACAAGGCAGCCAACTGAATATCAATTCTCAGTTCTTGGAGTAGAATATAATTTCACTTTCCTCATGACTATGCAGAACATCATGCACTAGCGAAGTACATTCGAAATCAATTATTTTTGTAGTAATGAACTCTGGCCTGTGATGCACTAAATACTCAGGCATAGGAGTGTCGATTTCTTGAGATAACATTGCGCTGCATTTTATGTACGAAAAATGTATAAACTTTGGACAATGTATAAATGACTGGAAGTTATCATTCTTGTCGGATGAGGATTGCATAAAGATCTCATATAGATTTGTTATTTATCCCTTTCATTGTTATCTGAATTCTGGTACAGCGAGAATCGTAGGCGTATACCTTATCTTTATTTAGTGCGCAAAACATGTAGTTACGCAGAATAGCCTTTGAAAGGTGTTGATCTCTTCTTTTTTTTTTTCGTTTATACTCCCTGTTTGTGTCATCATGAGTGCTCCTGTGTTAAGTGTCATGGCAACTGCATATACAGTACGCGGCTCCATCAGAAACCGAAAGGCTCGTTATGATGTATACCAGATTGTAGCAGCTGGCCCCCGAGGCTATATACTTCTCCGCCCACTAGCCCCGCCGCGGTGGTCTAGTGGCTAAGGTACTCGGCTGCTAACCCGCAGGGCGCGGGTTCGAATCCCGGCTGCGGCGGCTGCATTTCCGATGGAGGCGGAAATGTTGTAGGCCCGTGTGCTTAGATTTGGGTGCACGTTAAAGAACCCCAGGTGGTCAAAATTTCCGGAGCCCTCCACTACGGCGTCTCTCATAATCATATTGTGGTTTTGGGACGTTAAACCCCACATATCTATCAATCATCAATCATTCTCTGCCCACTACATTCAACGTCACTGGACGCCACCAGCTTCGCTGTTTTTTCCACCTAGCGGAGCTGGCTCAACGTCTTGTTATCATGGTGTATAATTATAATTATAGGCAATAATATGGAATCTGTCTTTCTTTAGTTGTTATTGCTACAATAATGGCCAAGTAGTACATACATATCATCGTTGTGTACGTTTTTGCTAAAGCAAAGAGAGAAAGTTTAGCTAGAGACGAGCATGCAATGTGATGTAGATGTTAAGAGCGGGATGAAGCCTCGTTGAGAAGCAATGCTTAACAGCAAGGGGGTGTTCCTCGCGCACTTCCTAGATGAGTTGCGGAGACATTGTGCAAGTTTTTGACACTGCAGGGCTCCGACGGTGCCAAGAGCGGGCTAGCCACTCGTTGCCCTCACGCAGGTGTTGTGGCGTCGGGGGCGCGCAGAATTTCGACGACGCGATGGCGAAGGGCCTGGCCGCGCGGAGTAATGAATTGGCCGCTCCCAAGAACTGTCACAAGGCGGCCGTGAGTAAGACCAGAGCATTGGAGGAGCAGCCGGGCGACGCGCGCCATGAGGAGCCCGTCCGCGCCCGACCGCAGATATCGCGTCCAAAATGATAGACGCCCCGAGGAATAGCTCAAGAAGTCTGACCTCGTTATTAAATCTCCGCCGGCGAAGGCAGCGCGGCTCCATTGGAGGGCCGCCGGAGGGAGCGGGCGGAGCGAGCCGCGTCGTAGGCGGGGCGGCCGGTTTCGGCGGCGCGGCCCTCCGCGGGCGCAATCCCTCCCCGGCATGCTAATGGCGCCCGCGCGGGCGGCTCGCCATTTGGCGCTGTGCACCGGTCGCGGGCGGATATCATGAGCCGTGCCTGATGAGCGCCAGGATGACGAGCCCCGAGCCGACGGACGGCAGCCGCTCGGGTTCACCCGCGTCGCCCGTGCCCTCGGCCGAGGGCGCAAACCACAAGCCCCGACTTTCGTTCAGCATCAGCCGACTCCTGGGCGACGACAGCGAACGACGGCCCGACGGCGGCCTGCTCGGGCCTTCGCCGCCGTCGGCCGCCGAGATGCCCGCGCTCGTGGCGGCCGCGCAGCTCAGCCCGCTGCACCTGGGCGCCAACGGGACGGTGATCCGCGTGCCCGCGCACCGACCGGCGCCCCTGGGAGCCGCGTTCCCGTCCTTTCCCTGGATTGGACCCGCGCATCCGGCCGTCAAAGACCGCCTCCAAGGTACGCTACCATGTCGGCTGCTCCGGACGTGAATGCCAGCTGCTGTGGCTGCCATTCACGGCCGCCGCCGCCGCTGAATGACACGTGCTCGCACTTCGCCGCTACACACTCACGCAGTGCGACGAAAGACGCGTGTTGTCGTTTCCTCCTGTTGTGCCACGTTTTCGAGGGCGCATCACATTCGATGGCAATGACACGTTTCTGTTACGCGTGATCAAGTCCTATAGTTAGACTTCTATCTATCCCAACCAGCGTCTCTGTCGAAAGGTCCATATACCGTTCTCTGGTGCAATCGTCATCCTGGCGACTATTGAGAAAGCCTTACGTCACTGTGGCCACCCACGCGGCGTCTATGACATTTCGGCAGCCAAGTTAGCCTTTGTATGTCCCCCCCCCCCCTCTTAAAGATGAATGCAGCTACGACTTCTGTCGGGCTACAGAATTGATAGTTTTATGAGTTGAAATGATTCAACTGGCGCAATACGCTTCAAAATTAGTTCAACAACTTGGTCACTATTTTTACATTTCAGCTTGTCATGCATGATGTCTTGCTCACAAGTGGCGTCACTAACTATACGAAGGGAGCAGAAAACTGGCTTACGTGGGTAGAGTAAAACATACAAGAGTGCATCGTCATGGGGGAAATTAATTCAACTGCGAAAACACCTGATACAACCGAATAATTGGTTTAATACACCGCTGATCGTGATGCGAGGGAACGTGGCAGAGTTGACTTGAAACGTTTGCACTCCAACACTCTAACACATGCATATACCATGCATCACGTGTGGTCTGAGTTCTCACAGCTCAGTTATCGACATTTTGCGAAGGCTTATGGACACAGCGGGCATAAAAAGCTTAGAGGAAAGTGATAGATGAGGAAGAAAGGCTGGTCAGGAGACAGACGGGTCACGTCGGTGAAAAGAGGAGGGTATACATGGGACAAAATGAAAGATAACCACGATTTCAGGAAAGATAGACGAAGCAACGCATGCACACGTGCGCACTTATTCACAACTTGCAGTATTTTACGAGATACCTTCACAAAAAGAGTAATTACAGCATTATTTATTCCACTCCAGATAAAGCATTCAAGCACCAGTTTGTATCTTTTCCTTAAATATTTGTTTCCCGGTCCCTCGGTGCTATAAGGAAGAAATAAATCGAATTTTCGTTGCATTCAGAGTGTATTTGCAATGTAACCTAAGTGCTGATGGTAAATACATAAAAAAACCGCTGAACACTGTGCATGTGAGGAGTTCAAAGTGAAACGGAAGAGAGGCGTGCGTTTCTGGGGTTGTGAAATACAGGTTACGCTCAGAGCTCACAACTATATATGTATACTTATTTTGTAGCGTTTATATATTTAGCCATCCCGTTCCTGAACAGATATACCACTGGCAACTTAGCGCCTGATAACTGTTATGGTACACATTGTAGATGTACCACATGGCGCAAAGACGACATTACGACGGGTATAAAGGACGAAAACAGATGGTGTAGTCGTTTATGATGATGCCGACCCACCCAACAAGGCTATATTTGTGTTAGGCTCTAATCATAATCAGTTGCCTTGCACCTGTAGCCTCGTAGCTCACGATTTATACCGTTACAGGGGAGCACCACAAACTATAGAAAAATGAGTCTTAAATTCAACTTGTCCCAGTTCTTCTTATAGATGATTTCGTATAATGTGCTTATACACCGTACATGATGGCAAAATATATGTCATCAGTGCAAATTGTGTCGGAAGTATAGGAATCAACAGAGTATTGCTCATATGTAGGAGTGTCAAGAAGGGCACACGACACGTTACTGCTGAATCGTTCCACGATTACATTACGTTTTGTCATTTAAGAATGTACTGTCAAAGACAAGTTATATAGCAGTTACACGCAGCTTTAAATTATGACACCGGATGAAGCCTTCTTTTGTATGACATCGACACCATTCTTTCTTGCGCAGTCGATACACACACGAACAGCAATATAATAAAAAAAAACAACTGGGGAGGGGTCAACCATGCTGTTTTTAAAGAGATTTCTCTGATGAAGCACTGGTATAGTACCGAGCCTGAAACCAGCAATGCATGTACTGAAGTGTGTTTTCGGTCTGCTAACGTCGTCAGAAAACTGCGTCGGAATGCAACTTGCCGTATAAGGTTCTTCTTTTTCCCTATATGCCCGTTTTCAGTTCCCTGTGGCATGTAGGGAAGGGCGTTTCAGATCCACTAGAATCGTCGGCTATTTCTTTGGCTATATAATGGTTGACTTCTTCATATTTATTGGACCGGCCGCGGAAAGTGTGATTAACCTCGTTTTTGCGGCGCATATTGGCTTATGCTCGACCGTCACTACATAACCAATCGTTACAACAATACATGCCAACGAGCCTAGGCTCAAAAATGCTTCGCACCTAAAAAGAAACGCGGCAAATATCTGGCACGGAATCTTTTTTTCTCAAAAATTTTATTCGTACCAGTGCAAGAATGTTACATGTGTTTATAGTATACATAAGGAGGACCCAAAGTCGAAGACTGCATCGAGTCCTCCTGTTCAGGACAGATTGTGGTGAAACATAGTGTTTGTGGCAACGTAGGCAATAACTAAACACGTATGCAGCAGGACAGTAAAGAAATATACAAAACGAAAACAAATCTTACACAATAAAACAAAACAAAGCGATGATTTACGCTAAGCAGTAGAACAGCAAAAAATATAAAAAAGATATAATACATAAAATGAGGAAACTGAAACAAAAAGAAGCTATGAAAACGAACAGTATTACTAAGCATTTTAAATGTCTTAAGTTTATTGAAGTCTCTTGCATTTTAATAGAAACTGGTGGTGTATTCTATTATTATATTATGTTAGTATAGGTGACAGAAAAGCTTAGGTGGTGCCACGAAGAAAAGTGTTATCAAATACTTCAACAAGGACGTGTTCAGAGAGAGAGAAAGAAAAAGGAACACAAGGAAGGCAGGTTAACCTGGGCTGAGCCCAGTATAGGCTACTCTGCACTGGGGAAGGGCGGGGAAGGAAAGTTGTAGAGGAGAAGAGAAACGTCACTGTTTCCGTTCAGGGTACACATTAGGCTGACATGGTCAACTTGAATACGTGTTTCATGGGTGCGACGCGAACTCTGCAGTTACCCTTCTTTTGCCACTAAATATAGTTGGCCATACATAGTATTTAACATTGAGTCATTACATGCATGTCCCCATGCACCCCTATGAGAAATTCAAAGAGCAGTGATTTTGAATAACACGACCAGAAGTGCGCGCGTTTCAGTTTGAGTTATCGGGTGCTCCTTTGTTCAAGTAACATGTCTGGATCAACCAAGAAAGAATGAAGCTCGTTAATAACATGAGTATCATCCTCAATATTTCATTATCTTCAATCTTTTGATCCGACAACGTTCTGCTGACTCCAAATAAACGCCAGAAAATGAAGGTAGAATTCCTGCAAGGAACACTTATACACTTATATAAGTGTTCGTTAGGTGCCCCACCTTCCCTCCCTGAGATGATCGTAATAGCGCCCGGATTTTGTGTCACAAATAGCATACCTCCTAGGTTGCTGTGAATGCTAGACAAATACAGATTACAGATACGCAACTCGACGATTACAGATACGCGACGATAATTACAGATACGCAACTCGACGGCCATGAGTGCTTTGTCTTTCGTGTCCTCCGCTTCGCGCTGCACGTGTATTGTACCGGTCATCTTAAGGCTGATCAGTGAATCGACTCTATATAACCAAGTTTATTACCCAATACTGTGAACTCTATTGCGAGAGTCCTTACAGAGAGGCTAACGTAATAAAAAAAAGAACATCATTCACAAATACACAAATACAGGCTATATGAAGATCAAGCGGTAGGCCTATGTACATATATATATATTATATAGTCATCCAAGGTCAGTTCAAATTTTGACAAATTGTTCTGTTCCAGAACACACATCCTCAATTCCGTCCGCTTCAGCTACGGGAGGTGCGGGGTTCGATCCCCAGTGCCAGCCGGCCCCTCACCGGTAGCTAAACATGGTACAGGTGGGCTTCGAGGGGCTGGGACGCGTCGCCCCAGGGATGAAGCTTACTCTGCCTGGATACCCCCAACACGCTGCGTGGGGACCCGGTAACATCCGCAATTCGTTTCACATTTCAATTACGCTAGGAAAAAAAAAGGAGCCTGTGAACATATCGGTATGGGTGACCTACGTATCTAAGTTTCACCAAGACAAAATAGTGATATTAATAAGATTGGGACCCATCGTATCGAAATGTACACCATACACATTCTCACAAACAGTGACAGGTAACACTCGAAAGCACGTTAGATGTATCTGCCAGCGGTATTATAGTGGGATGCAAGATGTACAACAGAGCGTCCGCAGACAGGTTCCTGGAAGGTGGAGGAATGCAGACAAGAGGAGATTTCCCTATGTATATATATGATATAGGACAAGAACCCGACATCTGCAGCGAGTGACTAGCCTGCCCTCCTCCCATGACCTCCGCAGTCTCCCCCTTTAAGCACAGGTTACAAAGCCACCCGTCCACGCACTCTGTTTTGACACTGTCATTATGCCATGATCAAAGAGGTGATCACAGTCGCGGAGCAGTATGTACTTAAAGGGGCTGCGTCTGCTGAATGTCGCCGGCAGACCGCTTGCTCCGCTCTTCGCGAAAATACTCCGCTTTCGTTATGCGAACGCTCGCTTACAAGGTATGACATTACTGCAAAGATGATATCCGGACGTTTCGACGCAACAACAGACGCCAAGGCATCACATTTGCGGCATGTAACTTTTCAATGTCGATTCGTGCGTCGTTCTCAGTAATCTGCGTGGATTTTTATACTTGGCATGCAGGATTGAAGTTCCCATACAGCACATGTTCGTGAAACGCATCTATATATGCATATATATATATATATATACTGCGTCCTCGATCACGACAACAAGGAAAGCAAGGAAAAAAAACACACAGATATAC